CGACTCAGGTACCTCCTTCTTCAGTCCGTTCGAGAACGAACGGTTGTATTAGAGGTGGAGAATGTGATGACCTAAAAGGTCATCACTTGTTTTAAAACAAAATTTCCATGTTTTGAGGCCTTGAAAACCTCATTTAGAATCACCTCAATTTACATGCACAATCCAGGCGCGTAGCCGGAAATCTTAAATATAATAATCTCTGAAAAACGATAAGTTTTGATTATAAAATGAGCTAATTTGACTTCGGTCAACGTTTTGGGTAAATAGACCCATACCCGTGAATTGACGGTCCCAAAGGGTCCGTAGGAAAATATGGGACTTGGGCGTATGCCCGGAATCGAATTCCAAAGTCCCAAGCTCGAGAAATTAATTTTTAAAGGAAATTATTTTCTGGAATTGTTTAAAGAAATTTGAAATAAAATTTGATTAGAACATGATGGTATCAGGCCCGTATTTTGGTTCTGGCGCCCGATACAGGTCTTATATATGATTTAAGACATTTCTGTGGAATTTGGTGAAAAACGGATGTCATGTGACGTGATTCGAACTTACATCGCAAAATTTATGTTTAAATAAGTTTTGAGAAAATTTCATTGATCTTGAGACTTAATTTGATGTTTATGATGTTATTTTGATGATTTGATTACACGAGTAGGTCCATATGATGTTTTTGAGTTAGTATGCACACTTGGTTTGGAGTTCTGAGGGCTCGGGTGAGTTTCTGGTAGGTTCGGGATGTTTTAGACTTAAAACCAGAAGTTGCAGGTCTCTGAACCCTCCAGTGCGGTCCGCACAAAAACGTGTGCGACCGCGGAAGGGGGCCAGTGCGGTCCGCACAAAAACGTGTGCGACCGTGGAAGGGGGCCAGTGCAGTCCGCGGTCAGTTTCGTGCGGTGCACGGTGGAGGCCTGTGCAGCCGCAATCTATTTCGTGCTGTCCGCACAGGGCACTGGACCGCAGTACCTCAGGAAGGCATGTGCGGCAGCAGTCCATTTTGTGTGGTCCGCACAGGGAGTCTGAGAGAGGTATAAATAGACGAGATTTTCAGTTATTTTGCATTTTTTAAAAATCCCAAAAATATAAGAGGCGATTTTTCAAACCACCTTTCTTCTCCAAATCAATTGTAAGTCATTTTTAACTAGTTTTCCTCAATCATTAACATCTTTTAACATGATTTCAACTTCAAATCAATTATTTTCACGAGGGAATTGGGTGTTTTGGGTAGAACCTAGGTTTTTCAAAAATTGGCAATTTGGACCTCGATTTGAGGTCCGATTTCAAAACAAATTACATATTTGAGCTCGTGGGTGAATGGGCAATCGAGTTTTGGTTCGAACCTCAGGTTTTGACCATGTGGGCCCGGGGGCGATTTTGACTTTTTGGATAAAACTTTGGAAAACTCATTTTTATGCATTCAAGATTGATTCATTTAGCGTTTATTGATGTAATTAAGTAAATTATGACTAGATACGAGCGAATTGGCAGTGGAATCGAGGGGTAAAACTATAATTGAAACTTGAGTTGTGTTCGTGGCATCGAGGTAAGTGTTTGGTCTAGCCTTAGCTTGAGGTATTAGGAGTTGAGTCTTATTTGCTACGTGATAATTGTTGAGTATGACGTATAGGCATGGTGACGAGTATCTATACGTTGGTGTCTAGCATGACAGTGAGTCTTTAAATTTTGAAGATCTTGATTTCGTTGTATCTTTCATGCCTTGGTGATGATTTCTAATTGTTGTGAAAAGTTTGTCGAAGGAATTGTAACCTTTGAATATCGAGGAGCATTGGCTCAGGTTATATTATGAATTGTGAAAGTATATGAGATGATTGAATCCTTTGGAGCATTGGCTCAAGTTATTATTATGAATTGTGAAAGTATTTGAGATGACTGAACCCTTTGGAGCATTGGCTCAAGTGGTAAAGTGAGTTATGAAATAAAAGTGAAAGAAAGAGAATGAGTTATCAAATTGTCCCCTTGCCGGGATATTGTTGTTTTGTTGATTATCTCCCTTGTCGGGATGTTGAGATTATTGATGTTGTTCCCTTGCCGGGATTTAATTGTTTAACTATTGTTCCCTTGTCGGGATCTCTATTACTATTTTGTTTATTCCCTTACCCCTTTGCTTGTGATTGTTGTTTGGGTGAGGAAGAGTGTTAAAGCACGAAGGGTGATGACGTGCATTATTTGCTATTGTGAGGAAAGATTGTAAAGCATGGAGGGTGATGTTGCATCGTACGATGTACCATTCTGTACCGATTTTCATTGATTATATGGTGAGGAAAGATAGTAAAAGCACGAAGGGTGGTGTTGTGCACATCTTTATTATATGATTGATTTGGTGAGGACGAAAGCAAAAGCACGAAGGGTGATGCCATGCACACTTTTATTATAAAATTGCTTTGGAGAGGACGAGAGTAAAAGCACGAAGGATGATGCCGTGCAAATTGTTGATTTCTGATTCTTTGTTGATATTCGGGTTATGTGGTTTCTTTCCTTACTTGATGCTTTCTAATCGGAATTGTTATCTCCCCACAGCATGTTTTCCCCTCCCACATTGACCTACTTTTTTGTATTTTTTCCGCTGTATATACAATGGAACTATACATGTTTATTTGGTAGTCTGGTTCTAGCCTCGTCACTACTTCACCGAGGTTAGGCTAGACACTTACCAGCACATGGGGTCGGTTGTGCTGATACTATACTCTGCACTGTGTGCAAATCCAGGAGCAGCTTTTGGACAGTAGTTGGAGTGCTTCCTTCAGTCCACCCGGAGACCCAAGGTAGACTGCAGGCGTCCGCAGGCCCTGGCGTCTTCCTCTATCTCTACTTCCTGTTTCATTCTCTCTTATCAGAAACAGCGTGCTGTTATTTCTTCAGACCTTGTATATAGAAATCTTAGATAGTCTGTGATACTGTGACACCAGGATTTGGATATTTGAGGTTTTAAAAGTTGTAATAGACGTAGACTTAAGATATTTTATTGTTGACTTCCGCTTAATTATTTAAAGTTTCGTTGTTATCATGTTATCACCTTGTATTTGTTAAAATGAAGCAATATAGAAGCGTAGCAAGTAGTTAAGGTTTGGTTTGCCTAGATCCCATTAGTAGGCGCCATCACGACCCCCGAGGTTGGGAAATCCGGGTCGTGATATAATATCCACGCTATCTCTAAGAATTCGGATAATGGGCTAAATCACCTAAAATTTTGTTGGCCTTTCAGAAACGACCTAATGAATAATAATATTTACTTCGTCATGATCGTTCCTCTTCCTTTTTTGCATTTTAGGTTCAAAAAACAGGAATTCAGAACTATTTTCGATTTTTCGTGTATTAATGTCCACTCTATCTTCATGAATTAGGTCGATGAACGGGACATCAGAAACGACCTAATGAATAATAGTCATAACGTTTCTATGATTTCTCCTCATTTTTTGGCATTTTAGGGACATAAAACTGGAATTCAAGACGATTTTTAATTTTTGTGTTTTAATGTTCACGCCATATTCATTAATTAGGGCGACAGGCTCTGAATCGCCTAAATTTTGTGGGCTAGCTATATTAAATTAAAGACTTAAATGTGACTTTCATTAATAGCAAACTATTCAAAATATAATATAAAAGATTAGCATTAATTAAAGATTAACAAGTTTGGCAGTAAAATATTTATATATACAGCGGATTCCATTCAATTCAAGTCAGCAAAAAATCAAACTGTTTAAAAAGGCAGTTCTAGTATTTAATATTTTTTCCTATTTTTTCTCTTAAAATCAATTCATTCCATAACATAAACACAATTAAAATCCATGGTATATTCTGTTTATCTAATTGTGTATAGGTATAAAACTTTTATGTACTTTGTATTCAAAATATCCATTAGTATAATTTCAGTATGATTTGATTCATTCCCCATAGGATGATAGATAACTTCTACAAGTACCACAATATAATTTTAGTATAATTTACTATATTCACAGTATAATTTTAATATAATAACGGTTTATTTGAAGTACTTTTTCCAACTAAAACCATTAATGTATTTTAAGAATTTAAATGTATGCCATATGTATTTTGAATATTTAACTGTATAATGATGATATAATTCAAGTTCCAATCAATACTTCAAATATAAATATATTACAAGTATGTATTTTTATAACTACATAATATCAATGGGAGGTCTTATATTATAATGTTAGTATCACTAATATTGGTTTTTTGATGAATGTGTTGTTATGTATATATTGGCAAATTAATATATGGTATAGTTTTGATGTAATAATGATACATGGTGTTATGCTAGTACAATAATAGTCTCTTGATGTTTCAAGACCTTTTAGATGTATTTTTATGTAAATTATTTTGATATTATATATGAAAAAGTTACGAGTGAGAACAAGTAACGGGATTGCAGAACCTGGTAGTGTTTATTGAAGTAATTGGAATTCCAATGAGTTTTTACATTAGAAAAAAGATCACTAGAAAACAATTCTATATTTGTTGATTCCACAAAGTAAATTAGGTTAGACTTGGAGAGAATGTAAGAGAATATTTGTAAAACTAAAAATATGGCATAGATGGAATTCTTTTATACACATAGGATATATATTTTTATTTTTATTTTTCTTTACCAGATATAGTTTGTATTTATACACAGTCCCTGTACAGATTAATTCATTCAATTAAATGAAAAATACAGAAAATTTTCTCAAGTCTCGTCTCTGATTTGCAATATGGTATCAGAGCATTAGAGTTCTTCTCTAATTCTTTCTTTTCAAATCTAAGCTTTCATCATCATCATCATGGCACGTTCTTCAACTGTTGATGATACATCTTCAGGAACATCTATAGGAACAACTGTTGTTTTCATTGATGCAACTCATCCTTATTTTCTCCATGCCTCTGATGCTCCAGGAATGGTTCTAGTCAACACCCCCTTTGATGGACGTGGTTATCCTGGTTAGAGGAGATCTATTTTGATCTCTCTTTTAACCAAAAACAAGATGGGGTTCATCGATGGTTCATGTCCAACCCCAGCTCTCACTGCCACTGATTTCAAAACCTGGAGCAGATGCAATGACATGATTACATCCTGGTTGTTGAACTCTCTCTCCAAGGTAATAGCTGACAGTGTTCTCTACTCAAAGACTGCAAAAGACCTTTGGACAGATCTAGAGCATAGGTTTGGTCAGCCTAATGGTGCTAAGTTGTATCACCTGCAAAAAACTCTCGCAGATTTAGTTCAAGGTTCGCTAGACATAGCTGGTTACTCCACAAAAATGAAAGGATTATGGGATGAGCTGGACACTCTCAACAACAATATGATCTGCTCTTGCGACTGTAATTGGGGTGGAAAACAAAAATACTGCAATTCAAAGAAAATGAAAGGCTCATTCAATTCCTTATGGGATTGAATAAGACCTATGGACCAGCAAGAAATAATATCCTAATGATTAACCCTTTACCAACTGTTAACCATGCATATTCCCTATTGATGCAAGATGAGAACCAAAGAGAGATACATGTCAACACACACTTCTCAGGAGATAGCTCTTCATTTCTGGCAGGAAGCACACAACATACTACATAACTATCTTCAGGAAATCATTTCAGCACACTGCAAAAAAATGGAAGCACTGCTGACAAAGGAAATAATGTCTATAAAGGAAAGAGAAATGCTCATACGTGTTCCTATTGCAAGATGAACAATCATACAGTTGAAATAATATAGACTCATAGGTTTCCCAACCAATTTTAAGTTTACAAAGATTAAGAAATTTCAAGGTCCTTTGAGGGGAAATTCTGCTGCATCTATGGATCAAACAGAGGGAGTTATTAACAACATCACTGAAGGTCCTCAGTTTGCACAACAATTGTCATCAGAACAATTCACTCAGCTGGTTTCTCTCCTAAACCAGATTCAAGTGGGAAAACCTGCTGAAGTTAATGCAAACTCAGCAGCTGGTATATTCCTTACAAACTCTGTCTCTTGTTATTCCTTAGCTAATTCAAATTCAAGTTCCTGGATCATAGATTCTGGAGCATCTGAGCATATGTGCTTTAATTCTGAGTCTTTCCAATTTTGTTTACCCTTTCTACTCCATTACTTGTTAAGCTACCTAATTCTTCAAAGGTAAGAGTCACTCATGCAGGGAATGTTTCTCTTTTTCCAGGGTTAATTTTAACTAATGTTTTATATATTCCTTATTGTGAGCACGTGATTTTTGCCCTATATATGAATAATTCCCAAAAATTCAAACAAAATAATTTTTGTGCATTTTGGTATCATTTTCTGATATTGGTTGCGTTTTATGTGTGCATGTTAATTCATACAAAGACATGCATTTGCATTTATGATATAATTTCATACTTTTAGGATCAATTAGGGGTTGGTTTATTTTAGAACCAAGCATGAAAAATTACAAAATAGTTCACTTTTGTATTTTTATTGTTTTTAGTCGTGAATTTGTCGTAAAATAGGTTTAAAATAATTTCAGAATTTAATTAGTGTAGCTTTGGAATATTAGGACTTTATTTTAATTCTTGCATATTTATAAATAAAGGGATTTTCAATACAAAGCCACAATTGGGCTCTTTCAATTGAATTCCGCCACAACCCAAAACAATGTCATCCGCTCAGGCCCAATGTCGCCCCATCCGGACGCAACCCTCTTTCAACCAAACGACGTCGTTTGGCGTTGTTAAATCTGAGCCCTTATATCATGTTAATCCGACGGCCCATAACCCTTCCCCCATTTGACATAAAACTGTCCGAATAAACCCCTAACCCTAGAGACATCAGCCCTTCTTCCTCGTACCAATCTCCAGCCCCGCCGGAACCTCGACGCCGGCAAATGATTTCCATGCCAAAAAGCCCCAAATTAACACCATAGATCCCCCATGAATCCCGCTTTCCATTCTTGCTATTGGTTTCCCTCGAATATTGCCGGAGCTCGTCGAATCTCCGATTAAAGTTTTCCGGCCAAGTCGCAAACTCATCCAAACCGGCCCAAAATCACACCACACCATCCCCAGACTTCCCTCAACCCAAATCCATGACCATTTTCCTTCGAATCTCGGCGAAGCGGCTCAAATTTCAGATCTAAGAATTTCTGGCCAAAACCCTAACCCAAAATCTCTGTGATTTTGGACCGTAATATCCTTAACCATGTGTTCTCTTGTAAAAACACATGGTTAGGGATGTTATGTGTCAAAAATCTGTAAAGATTCGAACGGCAGTGGTTGACCGGAGTTTTCTCTCCGTTGGTGAGTTTCTCTCCAACTTTCTAAGCTCGATTTCTATCAGTGTAGCCTAACAGTCTCTTCTTCTACTCTATTTGATTTGATCGATTGTGGAAATTATCCATGGTTAATTCTAATTTTTACTTGTTTTAAGTCTAATTTTGTTAGGTCGTGTTTCTATGCTTTATTAGTTAGCCGTTTCAATTAACAGTAGGACTTAGGCTCTGAATCATCGTTAGTTTAATTAGTCAGTTAGATTAGTAGTTTATTGATCGTACTTTAGGGTCATTCATAAATAATAGAATTTATTAGTTGAATGCAGTGGTATTAATGTTAATTCAATGCATGTATGGATTCTTGTTCTGATTTTTCCAGGCCTTTGTTCTGTTCTTCTCTTTTGTCTGTTTCTTGCTTATGGGTGATGATTCCGTGATTAGTTGTTAGCTTAGTCTATTCTCATGTTGATGATTACTTTCGGGTGTTTATTGGCTTGGTAGAGTGTGCATTAGGATTAATTGGTAGTATGATTCAGCTTGAATATTTTGCATTAGAGGTGAACTTGGTTGGTTACAGCTGAACAAAATCTTTTGTTTTGGCTAACTTTAATTAAATTTTAGCCAGGGTAAGGGACTGGGATCAGTTAACCTTAGTCTGTAGTTTTCAGACTATTGGAAGGGCATTTTAGGCATAGAAAAGGGCAGTTTCTTTGGGAATAGTAATTTCAAAGTAGGGGTAAGGGTAGTATAGGTATTTTAGGGGTAGAAGAGCATCCTAGGGCCTTCTAGAAGGGTACTTTAGTGTAGGTGTTAGCACAATAGAGGGATTTACTTGTTGAGCAAGTCAAAAATAAGGGGACTAAACTGAAAATAAGAAGAGGGACTGTTGGGAAAAACTGAAAATCTGAGGGCTGCCCTCATTTGTGTCTATAAAAGGGCATGCCCTTCATTTCATTCAGAAGTTTGGGAGAGCTCCAAAAACTTCCCCCAAAAACACTTCTCAAGCCTGCAGATCTGAGAATTCAAATGGCAGCTCAAAATTACTTTTAGATCTTAGCTTTCCTTAAGAGAAAATCAAAAATAAAACAGTAGAAACTTTCAAAAAAAAAATTCACTGTTCCATTGCCTTTTTTTAGATCCTTTCTGAATTCCTATTTGAATGTCTTCATTTCTGTGCTAAATTCGAGTTATTAAAAGTTTCTGGAGCGAACTGTTGCTTTGTTCAAGTGATTCTAGGCATAACTGAACTGGTTTGGGTGGAGTCATTGTCTTTGAGGTATTTTGGGTTCATCTTCGAGTTTATTTGGGTGATTTTGAGTTGTAGTTGGCTGGCTGAGTCTATTTTGAGCTATTTGGATGACTGTTAGCTTCAGAAGTTGTGGTGGGAGTAGTTTTGAGTCTCTTTGGGTTTCTGCAAGTGAATTGGGTCTACTATCGGTGTTGTTTCTTCTCTGAAAATTATTCTAGGTTGTGTCTCAATTTCCTGGGCTGTGTATTGTTGTTGTTTGATCATCACTTGGTCTGCTGTTGTTTGAACTGCTATTGACTCACTCTTCTCCTTCATTATTCTTCAAATCTCCAGGTACAATACTCAAACCTGACATGGAATTGAATATTGATTGGCTTGCACGAAGCTGTTGGAAATTCAAGTTGAAATTCAATTAACTATATCAAGTTTGATGTTGTTTAATACTTTTAGTATACATGATTAAGTGCTTCAGTTCCGTATATTTCTGTTTTCGGTTTGTATCGAGTGCTAGTGCATGCTAAGGGCTTAGGTTGATTTCGTTGCTTGGATTTATTATATAATTTCAGAATACTGGGTGTTTTAATACCGTTCGAACTCAAGTGTAGGAATGGATTGCTTTTAAGCTTTATGGTGATCATGTTAAGCTTAGTTGAGCGGCTTTTGCATTTCTGACTTTGAATTTACATTGGCACTTTCAATTGTGAAGTCACGTTGGTTTTTTGGTTAAAGGTTTTCAATGCTATTATAGCATGAAATGGTGACACAAACTGTATATGAGTT